AATGAGCAGAATTCACAGTCAATTAATAAAAGGGTTTTTTGCCGGGACAAGGAGATTGTTTCATGCTCTTGGGAAGCCTCGGTCAGAGCAGGGGGGGAGGAGTAACTGCTGAGGGCTGGCTCATCATCTGTCCAAATTGGACGTGCTTTTTGGCAAAGCAGTTCAACAAAGTAAGATGGTCCATTTGTGCCAGGAACCAAGAATGACACAAGGAAATCCTTCGGAGTAGCTTCTTTCTTTGTTGCTCACCTGTAAGCAGGAATCTTGCCAGACTAAAGCACAAATCTGCATAACGATTAGATACGCTCCTGAAAGGTTAGGGTAGGTCAGCCCTGCCTCTCTTCCTGCATACCAAGGATTCCGTCCTGAGCTGCCTCTTCACTCCTGGGGAAAGAACCCTTTTCCTCTTACAACTCTGTGCTAGATTCCATCACATCTTTTCTGGAAAAGGTCAACAGGCATGCATGGGGGAGGTGCACATATGGGAGATGTGGATGCATGCACGGAGGGGGGCGGGGATCATAGGCACTTGCGCTTGGTGCACAAGGTAGGTCGTGCGTGCATGCTTGGGGCAGGGCACGCGGGGGTGTGTGTCGCACACTCATTGCATTATGGGTGCGCATGTGCTCGCTTTCAGCACACAACAACAAAGAGGTTAGCCATCACTGCATAGAGTATGAGGGAGGGGAGCTGTAGGCCCAACACAATCAGATTTGCAATATTCTAATCTGCTAGCCCAGGGGTATCAAAACTCAAGGCCCGTGGGCTGGATCCAGCCTGCAGAGGGAAACAGCAAAGTACTGGCCCACATTGGAAACAGCAAAGTACTGACCCACATTGCCTCTGCTAGTGAAAATGGAGCTCATGAGGTCCGCGTGCTGCCCTCCCGAGCTCCATTTTCACTGGCAGAGGGTTGCAGGAGGCCATTGCAGCCATAAACGGAATTTGGGAGCCTGTTTTGGGGGGCAGAGCGCTCGGGCCACCACAGGCGCCCCCGACACAAGTGACATCAAGCTGGCCATGCCCATCTCGGGGCCCCCCGATGTCAACCCTGATGTGGCACTCAATGAACAGTTAAGACAAAAGGGACAACTCGGGAGTAAGGCTTGGAGATGATTGGCCCCTCCCATAAGACATAAAAGAGGAGCAAACGGAGGTGAGCCTTTGCAGGAAGCAATTATTTTGTTCATGCTGGTCGGTTCAAACTCTGAGAAGCTCCGTTTGACTCTGTGCTCCGTGTGGCCTTGCAAAACTAATTGGCAATTAGGTCTCTGGCAGCATTTCAAGGTCAATAAAGGTGGGCGCTTATGAGCATTACCCTGAAAGACTTTGGCAGACTTCTGTCGGACTCTTCACAGACTGGCTGTGAATCATTACGGGCTGCGAATTATGGGCTATGAATGACCATAATTCACAGCCATTTAAGTAAAAGCGGGTTTGGGGGATTAAGTGTGTCATTTATGCTTTAGGTGTAGCCTAGGTTTGTTCCAACCTGTTCCAACCCCTCGTGCTTTTCTTGCCCCCCCCCCCTCCATCCCCAGCGGTCATCTCCTGATGTGAAAGCTGAACTCTACGAGCTGCTTTTTCGGATCTTGCACCACAACTGGCGGTACTTCTTCAAGTCCAACGTCCTGGCCAGCGTCCAGAGAGGAGTAGCTGAGGAGCAGATGGAGAACCAAGCCCAGTTCTCTGCCATTATGCAGGTATCATAACACGATGATGATGATGATGATGATGTTATCCATTCAGTCATTTCCGACCCTTAGCGATTCTGTGAGCCAGGTCTCTCTCCGCATCTTCTGATCTTGCGCTGCTTCTTTGAGTTGTTCTATGCCCTGGCTGGCGTCGTTCTTATTTGAGCTGCGGTGGCGCAGTGGTTAGGATGCAGTACTGCAGGCTTCTTCTGCTGAATGCCGGCTGCCTGGAATTTGGGAGTTTGATCCTGGCCAGCTCAAGGTTGACTCAGCCTTCCATCCTTCCAAGGTGGGTAAAATGAGGACCCAGATTGTTGGGGGCAAGAGAGGCTGACTCTGTAAACCGCTTAGAGAGTGCTGTAAAGCACTGTGAAGTGGTATATAAATCTAAGTGCTAGTGCTCTATCTATCTATCTATCCTTCCTCAAAGCCACTGAGCCATGGTGGCATAGTGGTTAGAATGTAGTGCTGCAGGCTTCTTCTGCTGAATGCCGGCTGCCTGGAATTTGGGAGTTTGATCCTGACCAGCTCAAGGTTGACTCAGCCTTCCATCCTTCCGAGGTGGGTAAAACGAGGACCCAGATTACTGGGGGCAAGAGGCTGACTCTGTAAACCACTTAGAGAGGGCTGTAAAGCACTGTAAAGTGGTATATAAGTCTATATCTATCCTTCCTCAAGGCCACTGAGCCATGATGGCACAGTGGTTAGAATGTAGTACTGCAGGCTACTTCTGCTGCCTACTGGCTGCCTGCAATTTGGCTGATCAAATCTCACCAGCTCCAGGTTCCTTCCTTCCTTCCTTCCTTCCTTCCTTCCTTCCTTCCTTCCTTCCTTCCTTCCTTCCCTCCCTCCCTCCCTCCCGCCCGCCCGCAATGATTAGGAAGCAGCATTGCAGGCTGACTCTTGCTCACATCCAGGAGTTTGATGCTGTCCAGGCCCCAGGTTGACTCAGCCTTCCATCCTTCCGAGGTGGGTAAAATGAGGATTCAGATTGTTGGGGGCAAGAGGCTGACTCTGTAAACTGCTTAGAGAGGACTGTAAAAGCACTGTGAAGCGGTATATAAGTCTAAGTGCTAGTGCTCTATCTATCCTTCCTCAAGGCCACTGAGCACTGAGTCTAAGGGCTATTGCTATTCCTTCCTTCCTATGCAGTATTGCAGGCTAGTTCTGCCAACTGCCAACAGTTCGATCCTGACTGGCTCAAGGTTGACTCAGCCTTCCATCCTTCCGAGGTGCATAAAACGAGGATCGAGATTGTTGGGGGCGATAGGCTGACTCTGTAGACCGCTTAGAGAGGGCTGTGAAGCTAAGTCTAAGGGCTATTGCTGTTTAGTGCAGGTTCACATTCTGTGCGGCCAGAAGCTTCCAGTTTTAGTTCTCCCTGGGGTATCTCTCTGTGCCATCAGTTCTTCCCACTGGCCTCAGCCACACCCTCCTGAGTCTTCTCTCTTCCCTAGGCATTCGGCCAGTCCTTCCTGCAACCTGACATACATCTGTTCAAGCAGAACCTGTTCTATCTGGAGACTCTGAACACCAAGCAGAAACTGTACCACAAGGTGAGCGGGGATTTATTCTGAAAGCCAGAGGAGGCCGATAGCAGCCAGCAGGTGACGGAAAATATTCTTCCCCATAACTGCCTGAATAGGAAGGGCTGTTGGCTTGGCGAGAGCCCAGCGCACCTGCCGTTTCTGAAAAACTCCCCACCTAAGTGCAGATATGTCTGCAGTGAAATGGTTGTCGCAAAGGTGTTTTTTCAGGAGGCAACTGGACTTTCTTGTTTTACTTGGAAGATGTTTCGCTTCTCATCCAAGGAACTTCTTCAGCCACTATCCAGTCAGAGCTGAGGAAGGTTCTTAGACGATGAATAAGGATGGGATGGGATGGGATGGGATAGGATAGGATAGGGAATAAGGAATAGAATAGAATAGAATATCAGGAATAGGATAGAATAGGATAAGATAGGATAGAATAAGGAATAGACTAGAATAGAGAATCAGGAATAGAATAGAATAGAATATCAGGGATAGGATAGGATAAGATAGGATAGAATAAGGAATAGAATGGAATAGAGAATCAGGAGTAGAATAGAATATCAGGAATAGGATAGAATAGGATAAGATAGGATAGAATAAGGAATAGAAGAGAGAATCAGGAATAGAATAGAAGAATAGAATAGAATATCAGGAATAGGATAAGATAAGATAGGATAGAATAAAGAATAAGGAATAGAATAGACTAGAGAATCAGGAATAGAATAGAATATCAGAAATAGGATAGGATAAGATAGGATAGAATAAAGAATTAGGAATAGAATACAATAGAGAGGAGAGGAGAGACTAGAACAGAAAATAGAATAGAATAAAACAAACTTGACTTTATTGTCATTTTTGAATGAACACTAATTGGCATGTGTTACATACATACATTCATTACATACATTCATTGCATACAGCTCTTAAAAGGTCACCACCTCCAATTTTACACTACGTAAACATGACAAGATAAATAAATAAATATAAAATTATGTATATACCAACTTATATTATATGACACACAGAAATAACACAGTCTAGTTCTACATGTTTACGGTGAGAAAAACGAACCTTGTGAGTTTGCCAGATGGCATAGAGCAGGGACGGAGAACCTTTGAGACACCAAGCGCCCAAACTGTGTGTGGGTGCCCAAACTGAAAGGTGCATGCACGCATGCACAACAGAAACCCAAAGGCCAGCCGGCCGGCAGGAGGCAGGGTATCCCAACACCGGCAGCGTGGCAAGAGGTAAGTCTTTTTTTCTTTCGTGAGCTTCTGTTTCGTCCTTTTCAGGGAAGCAGAAGCTCATGAAAGAAACGCCATGGAAATCTGACGACACACACACATGCCGGCTGAGAGGGCTCTGCGTGCCACCTCTGGCTCACCATCATGGGCATAGAGGGAACGAAGCTGTTACAGAATCTGGAAGTTCCACTAAGAAATCCTCCAAAACCTCCTCCCAGAGGCGAAACGTCTTCCAAGAAAAAAAAACACAAGAAAGTTTGAAAAGCTTTCTTGAAAAAAGCACCTTTGGGGACAACCAAGGCCCGGGTGGCTTAGAACCTCTTACAGACCTGTAGTGAAATGGTAGATTTTGGGGGGAGTGGGGGGTGGGGAGGGATCCCCATTCTCACCCCCTTTTTTGTTTTTGTTTCCCGTTTGCTGCAGAAGCTCTTCCAGGCGTCGATGCTCTTCCAGTTTGTGAATGTGCTGCTCCAGGTCCTGGTGCACAAATCCCACGACCTCCTGCAGGAGGAAATCGGCATCGCCATCTACAACATGGCCTCGGTGGACTTCGACAGCTTCTACTCAGCTTTCCTCCCGGGGTTCTTAGCCGGCTGCGACAGGGTTGACACCAACCAGAAAAACGTCCTCGGGAGGAACTTCAAGATGGACAGGGTGAATTTGGGGCGGAGCTGGGCTTGGGTTGGCCCTTCTTCAGGCCGACGCTCTCCTTTATCCCCAGTGGCCAAGTACAGTTAGTCCTTGACTTAACAGCCGTCCCTTTAGTGGCCATTCAAAGTTAAAACAACAGCAGTGGAAAAAGTGACGTATCAACATTTTTCACACTTCGTGATGAAATTCAATTTTTTTTACTACCGGTTCTGTGGGCGTGGCTTGGTGGACCTGGTGTGGCTTGGTGGGTGTGGCATGGCTTGGTGGGCGTGGTGTAGCTTGGTGGGCGTGGCAGGGGAAGGATACTGCAAAATCCCCATTCCCCCCGCACTCGGGCCAGCCGGAGGTGGCATTTGCCGGTTCTCCGAACAACTCAAAATTTCCGCTACTGGTTCTCCAGAACCTGCTGGATTTCACCCCTGCTTCAGACCATTGTGGCATGGTGACGTGATCAGAATTTAGAAGCTTGGAAACTGGCATGTATTTATGACGGTTGTAGCGTCGCAGGATCAAATGATCCCCTTTTGCAATCTTTCTTTTTTTTTAAAAATCCATTTATTTTTGTTTTCAAATACATTGGTGCTTTAATGAACAATGTATTGTCTCAGTCATTTTAGGTTTACAAAATAATAATTCTGATATTGATGATAATAATAATGATCAATTTACTTTATGCTCAATACTAATGACAGTAATAGTACTATTCAGGTAAATAGAATAGAATAGAGGTTAGAGTTTAGAATAATATAGAAGTTAGAGAATAGAATAGAACAGAATAGAATAAGAGTTTGGAGTTTAGAATAGAGTAGAATAGAATAGAGGTTAGAGGTTAGAATAATATAGAAGTTAGAGAATAGAATAGAACAGAATAGAATAAGAGTTTGGAGTTTAGAATAGAGTAGAATAGAATAGAGGTTAGAGGTTAGAATAATATAGAAGTTAGAGAATAGAATAGAACAGAATAGAATAAGAGTTTGGAGTTTAGAATAGAGTAGAATAGAATAGAGGTTAGAGGTTAGAATAATATAGAAGTTAGAGAATAGAATAGA